AATAATTTCCAACAGAAAATTGTCAAAATATACCCAAAAGTGTTGTTTCCCTATATAAACTATAGTAAACTTTACCCCCTCCCCAAGGGAGAACGGATAGCTCGGGGGTCCTGAAATTTACAATTTAAATAAAGCCCCTGATGATCTTTCCATCCATGCAGAGAAAATGACTGTAATACCTCTGAGTCTGGAGAAGAAGATTTTTGAAATATTGGTTTGGTTAATTTTCCCTTTTTGGCCCCGCCCTGGCCCCTAGGGTTGGGGTAGGAATACCAATTTTACAATTTGGTAGCCCCATATACCAAGGATGATTCTGACCAAGTTTGAAAAAATTCCATCCACTGGTTCTTGAGAAGAAGTTGATAATGTAAAAGTTTACGCACGACGCACGACGGACGACGACGGACGAAAAGTGATTGGAATAGGTCACTTGATTTGCTCAAGTGACCTAAAAAGAGATATTTATCAGGGAATTTATTTCATATAAGGTAAAGGGAACCAAAAAGTTTAATTATATTATTATTATTGTCTCTACAGTGAAATTTTGAAGTCATTTCATATCAATGTAACAAAGGTTTGGAAATTATTATTGTGAAAACTGAGGGTTTGTTTTTAACTCTGATACTTTATGGGTTTTGTTGTATTTTTTTCTCCAGCTTTATCTTACATATAAAAAATATAAACTTTATTTATTTTACAACAATTATGAAACAAGTTATTTAAACTTGAATATTAATCACTCTTGTTGGCAGGGATGGAAGTGCGCGTAGGGTCTTAATGTGGGAGGAAACCGGAGTATCGGAGAAAACCCACGTGGTCGGGTAGGTGATCCCATACCTTTTCAGTACGATCAGGTAATCCAACCCCGGTCGCCTTGGTGAAAGGCGAGTGCACTATCGATTGCACCACCAGACCACCTTCTTACATAGGTCATATTAACCTGTGTAAACCAGACCTTTAACTTGGTCTGTTACATTTATCTACCTTGGTTAGTGATTTACATCCTATTGACAGCTATGGTCATTTATGTTTCAATAAATTTTGTTGATTGATCAAATGGATTGAACAACAGGCATAGCCTATATAATTCTGAAAATATATATGAACAGTTCATAGTTTACAACTAATTAATAAAAGTCTGTGTTATGAGCCTCCTAATGTGCTCCTAAATAAATCTGAGAAATGTTATTTATTTGTCTTTGTTGTGATAAAGAACTTTTAACAGCAAGGAAGCAACTGTAAACATACTTTATAGAAACAATAATTAATTCTGTATTATGTAATATCACAGACTTATCTAATTCCGTGGTAATACAAAATTAGAATTATATTAATGCTGAACCTGGCAGATATGAGTTGGAGAGGGTCCAAATATATGTGCTATAACATATGTACATAAAGAAATTTATCTGAAATCAAAGAGGATCTGCACAATAAAGTACTTTGGTAGAACTGAAAAGAAAACATAGTTAACAAAGGGAGGTAATCTTCATTTTTATTGTTCTCTTTTTAATTCTACCAATGAGTATGGGAATACACCCTCAGCAAAGGGAAGTAACTCTGCAGTGCTGATTGAAAACCAAGACGCATATATCAGTCGCCATATTTTGGTAACATTATTAGTTATTTGTTTCTCAATAGGACCTTGTAGTTAAAGGACCTTAAGTCCCATCGCTGTGTGTTGTATCTCTTATGTAGAAGAGTTCAATCTTGTTTGCCCATATTTACTATAGCAAAGAGTATACATAATACACGAAAGAAAGAAATTCACAAAGACCACCACAAGGATTCGATCCCCGGACCTGTTGACATGTGTTCTGCTGGAGTACTACGAAACCCGGTTAATACAAGCAGAAAACAAATATCTCTATTACGAGTTAAGGTATATGGTTATTATGTATGTTACAAAATATATTTTCCCGTCTGTCTTTTCGTCCACACTAAAAAAAAAATATGTCTACAATATATCTCGTGAATTCCCTGAACACAATTAGTTAATATTTACATTATATTATGGTTTTATCGAGTGCTAGCCTGCAATTGACCTAAGGCTATTGCATGGGAAGAATACCTTATCAATACTTATATTTCATGATTAGAAGTTCACATGGGAAAAGCAGAGTTTCTATCTCTAGTAAAAGGACAAGTGATGTTAAAACTTTTGAATGCAGTAAAAGGTCTTATGTGCAAAAGTTTTATAATATTAAAGATTTAATTTGTTATATCTGAAAAAAATATTTATTAATTTCATTTGGAATATTCCTTACTATAGTATTTCAAATATTTGAAAAATGAGTTGTTCTGTGCTTGCATGGGAATATCTGGAGGAGTTCCGGTGGGATTATGGCAGGAGTTGTTTACCTTTGACACATTTTCTGATTTATAATTATGAAAAAAAAATCAATTTAAGAAATTGATTTTCTTAATCATAATAGGTATGTTTTAGCTCACCTTGGCCAAAAGGGCCAAGTAAGATTATGCCGTGATGCGGAGTCGGTCATCCGTCCGGCATCAATATTTTCCTTTCAACGAAAAAGGCCTAGGGTGATGATATTTTGCCAGAAGCATGCTGGGATAAAGGGCTGTCGGGTCAGGTTTGTTCAATTGAATGACCTTGACCAATATTCAAGGTCACACGGTTCAAATTTGTTTAAAACTTCAAAACTGACCAAAAGCCATGAGTGAGGTGATATTTGGCAAGTGACATGCTTGGATGAATAGCTATCAAATTTGTTCAAGAAAATGACTTTCAACCATATTAATTAACCCTTTCACCCCTATGTAACTTTAGTAACCTCTACCATACATTGATCTGGGTAAGTCCATTTTGGTCTACAGTGGTGAAAGGATCAAAAGTCACAGGAGGTCACATGAGTCAAAAACATTAAAGCAACTTCTTCTGAACAACCACAAAACCTAGGGAGATGATATTTGGTGAGTAACGTGCTGGGATGAAGGGCTATCAATTTTGCTCAAACTAGAACAGTTACTCAGAGGCTAACTAAGATGCCCCCACATCCAACAATTATCATAAAGGGAGTATCTGTCCTCCATTGAAAAGGGTTGAAATGAAAACAAAATGAGTAAATTATACCAGGTGCACAACTTCAATATGAAGTCAATCGGTCAGAATGAAAAACATACTTGGATGCACAACATCAGGGGTAGTTATCATATCTGAAAATTTAAGTTGAAATTGGTGCACAAGTTAAGGAGGCATTATCCTAACAAGGATTTTTCAGCGAAGGGACATAATTCCATAAAAAGGGTCGGGAAATGAAAAAAACAAAAACATCTGTATGCACAACATCAGAGGTAGTTATGATATCTGAAAACTTTTCTTGAAATTGGCCCAGTAGTTTTGGTGGAGTTGTCCAGACAAGGATTTTTTTTAACAAAGGTCCTTAAATCCAGAAAATATCAGAATGGAAAAAAATAACATCAGGTATTGATATAGTTATCATATCTGAAAGCTTTCTTTGAAATTGGTGCACAAGTTTTAGAGGAGTTGCCTGGACAAAAGGCCCTGAGAAATGATATTTGGAATGACGGATTAGACATTTGTTCAAATGAATCACTTTGACCTATATATATTCAAGGTCCCAGGGGCCAAAATTGTAAAACTCTTCAAACAACTTTTGCAGAATAACTAAAATGCCTAGGGCAATGATTTTTGGCCAGTAATGTTCATAGCTCTGAACCAGATGTAGTTTGCAGAGTTTATTAACCATTTAAAATGGAGAATACAAGGTTGAGATGTAATTTAAAGTTTTCTTGCATCTTCAGATTCATCCACAGTTTGTAAACAAACACCAGACAAAGAATTTTGTAAATATTCATTTATTTATTGTGATCAGCACACAACAAAAACTTAACACTGATGAAGTTGTGTGAAAGCTGTTTCTTATCTCGCAGTTCACAGGCAACATGACATATAACGACACATGTGACCCCATCATGTCACATGACATACATGTGACCACGTCATGTTTTAAACAAAAAAATAATTTTGGTACATTCAAAACTATACACTTATATTAATAGTACAATTTAAACTCATCAATTTATGAATTAAGTAAATATATACGGGACACATTTAATTAAGAATTACATATATACATATTTGATGCATTTAATTAATAATCTACATACTGAATACTGTGTCATTGTATAAAATTAACCTGAAATATCACCTGTTTGTTTTATCAATTGTTCTGTCAAGTCTTAAATATTAAATAAATAAGTTTTCGCTAAAGGCCGACTCCCGGCCTCTATCCTGGGAATATCACAGTCAAATGGACGGCATCAACAAGGAAACAAAAATAACAAAAGTAAATAATATAATCCGAAAAAGATTAACAGAAAGGCAAATAAATACGCAGAATATATAAAATAAATTGATGACTTAAAGCTACATGTATGATTTAAACAAGGCACATTTTGATGAAGAATTACAGCCAATAATATGTTAAAGACACTGGAGATATAAACAGGCACTAGACACACCCACTAAATGGTCAGAAATCTATTCTTCTCAGCATTGTCAGCTTTATAATATAAAGCTAATTTTCAAATTTTATTTTTTGGTGGCTGATATTTTTATACTGTTCTTTCGACTGAAACTATTTAAACTTCTGACAGATATAGTTACTTTATGTTTTTGTATTTTAAAACTACAGAAAATATCACTGAAAGATATGTTCCTATGCCGTCAAGCTAACAGAGTTTTCTTACAAGTAATCAACAGTACTTTTTATGTTTACGCATGAAATCATATTGTCTTTATATACACAAGAAGTGCACAGATTACACAATAGTCCAGGACTTTTAAAGTCCAATATATTACACTTCTATTAAATTTAAACACATAGATTTACTCCATGGAAAGTTAACATTTGTAGCAGACACCTTTTACCACAAATAGCACATTAGGTTTATCCAATATACAGGTCAGCAACCGTATTGGAAGTTTTTTTTCACAAATTGATGATTTTTGATGAGCTCTCTATGCGAGAGTTATGTCCCTTGTTACTCATTGAGCTGGCACAGCAAGGCAGCGCCCTTCGCGATCCAGTAATCATTTGAGAAATTGGACGGAAGATGTGTCATCACTACGAAGTTTGTTGAGTGACCTGAAACAGACAACAGGAATAAATATCACCTAACGGAAATTGACGCACGCAAACGGTCCATGTTGTCAGGATATTGTATACCAGGTATCATTTTATTTTTACGATTATATAATTCCCACGATAAATCACAAAGATATCCAGGAGAGGTACACATTGACTTTGTGGGCCTTGTTAAATTGTATCTGAATTAAAATTTCTGCAATATTTGAATTCATATTGTTTATTTCTCCTTGCAAATCGATGTGAAAATCTTCAAAGTAATGTAGAGCATCATTTATCGTAACTTTTCTTGAGGAAGATTTTCTAACGACTTATTTGTTAGGTTTGAATTTGTAAAATGAACAACAATAGAAACATTGTTTAACCCATTCACCCCTAAAACCCACATTTAAACCTTACCAAATCAATGACTGGGTGAGTCCAGTTTGAATATGTAGGGGTGAATGAGTTAACGTCACAAATTAATCATAATGTGTAAATAAACAGTAAATTTTATTATACTGCCACCATTTGTCCAGAGAAATTTTGGCATTATAAAGGGGTCTGACATTAAATTGAGTAAAACATTATTAAAGAATTCTTAGGAAAAAGAGAGAAAGTGAACCTAGAAACAGGTTGGGGAAAGCGAGACGGTAAATGTAACAAGGGGCATCATATCAAGGCTTCTATACTGTACCTAAACAAATTGTGTACACTCTAGGAGGTATACAGTAGTTCTATATTTGCATGTATACAGAGTTCAGTTGAAGACAAGCTACACCGACTTCAAATAGCCCTACACTGTCGAGACGATAAATCTCTGTGACCTTGACGTACCTGTGGTGGAGAGGACACCTGCACGGGCTGATGTCTTGTACAGAGGAGCTCTGTAGTCCTCGGGGTCAGGACTAAAGTCCATCTTAGGCTCCATATGGATAACGGGGAGGACATCGTTCATGATGCCAGGGACGGAGTCCACCACCACCATGTCCTCCGGGTCCCAGCGACATCCGTCCATGAACATGCCATGTACTAGTACGCCGTCAGCAGGGAGGTCAATCTGTAATATATAGCTCATACACATCACAGGTGTCATAGCACAGGCATACATTACAGAGTTGTTGCCCTTGGATGGGGGAGACATTGATAATTCTTTCCCTGATACAAAACCTGTTCTAGAAAATTGCATGTAAAATATTTTCATAAATCAGGAACAAGACTTGAGAAAGGAAATATGTATACAAGTTTTCCTCGTACAAGAGCAATACATAAATTAGAAGTTCAACAATTTCAACAAGGACAGTTTGTAGCACAGCAACAAGGACACAAGAGCAGATAAGAGAAATATTACGAAGAAACTTGCTTAAATGTAGGAAAACATTTTCTACATTACATGTGGTTCCTTGTATCAATACAAAATTTTGGGTCAAATAGATGTTTGGTATCAATGAGGATATCAATTTTTGAGACAGAAATATTAAAAGAGACCCCTGGGACATCCATTACCTACCTCTTTATCAAGTTCTATCTCCTCCCCAAACTTCAGCTCGGCCATCTGTTTGGTGACCTCTTTCTGGTCCCGGGTAAACTTCATGGGGTGGAAGTGGAAGGACAGGTGGTCGATGGGTAGGTTGTACTTACGGGCGTAATTCTGTAGCGACCCCGTCAGGAAACCTGTCATGGGCAAATATGGTTATTGATCAATTACGTAATTTCAACTCTACCAAATTACACAAATTATTAACAAATGTTAAGAAAGACAGAATTTTACCTGGTTACTTAACCCTTTCACCCCTATGTAACCTTAGTAGACTCTACCATGCATTGATATGGATGAGTCCATTATGGTCTACAGTGGTGAAAGAGTTGATAGTTGATTGTAAGAAACAATGCTATTACTTGACTTCCATGTTACATTTCGCTGCAGTTTGATTTTGCGTCTTTTGCACCCAATGTAATAAAGGCGAATTTATCACAACGCAGTGAAAATTAGTAACCAACATAATTCAAGTTTGACTCGACGAAAATTCCCCGTTATACAGTATTGGATTAGTTGTCATAGCGACCTATCAGCAAGTCCCTCCCTCCCATCCGTCCCATACAATTAATTATGGAACACTGATAAAAAGATCTTTAATTTGTTTTCTGTTAAGTGTTACAGGCACATCTGGTATCATTTTTATCTCTAGGGAATGGAAATGTATCAAGGATCTGTATACATGTAGTAAAAAGTATATGTGACCCTGACCTTGAGGGAAAAAGAAGCCGGACATCCAGTAGGACTTCGGGAGTCCATGTCTGATCCAGTTGTCAATGAAAGCGGTACGGTGAGTCAGGTCCTCCACCCATGAGGCGAGGGGCTTCAGGGAGGGGTAGGCCGCATTGGCCCACATGCTTGGCACTTGTTTGTTAAGGAAGGCGTTGTAGACCCCTTCTAGGGCCTCGCTCATCACCACCAACCCCTTGATGGCCTTCTGTAGAGTCAGCAGGGAGTCCTACAACAGAACAAATATAACTAATGCTAAACATCGAAGTGGAAAATGGTTAAGATTTGTAAAATTTGATGGAAATTTAAACTGCTGTCAGATTATATTATCGTAGTTTACCGGAAATACATATCCCCATTGGTACCATCATGTGATTTGCATATCTAAAACCCAGTCAAATCCGGAGAAATGAAATATTTTGAAAATGGGGTGTTTTAAAGTGAAGATAATGGTTCAGATATTAAGATGGATGGAGTTCATATCCTGGTCTTAACATGAAAATGTTAGATATCACTGATTTGTACTGCTTTAACTTTGCATGATGTCATTTTTAGTTTTATGAAGAAAATTCCATGGCTGTATTGCTATGACTACTTCAGAAGATTCATAATTTTTTACCTTTTTACTTCGTTGATTTTTTTTAATGAAGAAAGGATGGCTAACAATTTGTTTTCTGATTGCTACATTATTTTCATGAACAGCTTGGTTTGAAAGGAACAACTTGTCAAGATGACACTTTCAGCTTACACAGTAATGGTGATCTAAGGAGTGTATTTTCAGTTATCTACCTTGATGACCTTGAGGAGGTTGTAAGTTTTGTTAGTTACCTTCCTTGATGACCTTGAGGAGGTTGTAAGTTTTGTTGTACAGGGGGAGTTATCTACCTTGATGACCTTGAGGAGGTTGTAAGTTTTGTTGTACAGTGGGAGTTACCTTCCTTGATGACCTTGAGGAGGTTGTAAGTTTTGTTGTACAGGGGGAGTTACCTACCTTGATGACCTTGAGGAGGTTGTAAGTTTTGTTGTACAGTGGGAGTTACCTTCCTTGATGACCTTGAGGAGGTTGTAAGTTTTGTTGTACAGGGGGAGTTACCTACCTTGATGACCTTGAGGAGGTTGTAAGTTTTGTTGTACAGTGGGAGTTACCTTCCTTGATGACCTTGAGGAGGTTGTAAGTTTTGTTGTACAGGGGGAGTTACCTACCTTGATGACCTTGAGGAGGTTGTAAGTTTTGTTGTACAGTGGGAGTTACCTTCCTTGATGACCTTGAGGAGGTTGTAAGTTTTGTTGTACAGGGGGAGTTACCTACCTTGATGACCTTGAGGAGGTTGTAAGTTTTGTCGTACAGGGGGAGTTACTTAACTTGATGACCTTGAGGAGGTTGTAAGTTTTGCTGTACAGCGGGAGTTATCTACCTTGATGACCTTGAGGAGGTTGTAAGTTTTGTTGTACAGCGGGAGTTATCTACCTTGATGACCTGGAGGACATTGTTAGTTTTGTTGTACAGGAGGAGTTACCTACCTTGATGACCTTGAGGAGATTATTGAAGCGATCAACCTCCTGGGTTAGGACAGTCGTTAATGAGTTAAGACGACCCTTGGCGTCCAGCGCAAACATTTCCTGGTTAGCCTCGTCAATGTCCAGTTTACCCATAACCTTCTCAAGAATACTCTCAGCCAGCTCGTACACGATATCGTCGTTTGACTTGCCAGTACCACCTGAGGACAAACGCGGCTGGACGTCTAGTATAGTTGTTACCAGTGCCATTGTTTCTTGGTTCTGTAAAATACACCGTAACATTATAATCTCCTCATTAACCTTGAAGATTCTTTTTTTACATTTAAGATTCTTATTCACTGTTAAAACAGTTATTTCGATCAAGAATGTACACAAAAATCATTTGATGATTTTATTTTGATAATATACGTACGAGATCTAACTATTCATATTCTCAGAAATAACATATTTGCCCTCGACTTGTTTTAAGTGGAAATATTTTAAGTATGAAAAAAATTACAGTGAACATGCAGGAACAAATTCTGAAACAAGAAATTAGTATTATTAAAACAAACTTTTTAATGACATATCTGAACGGAAGAATAATGGACTTGAAATCTTAGCATGTTACCTACCAAATCTACCAAATATACCTAGAACCAGGAAATCGATTTACAACTCTATTGTAAACACCAACAAGCACTTTACCTGGAATGCTATATTGGCGTTTTCGTGCATGCCAAATATTTCTGGTTCCTCAATCTGCGGTAAGGACTCGATGTAATCTCTGTACTGCTGCAGTTCTTCCATATCAGGGGCATAGTAAATACCTGTCAGTGTAAACATACGAGTGTAAACATACCAGTGTAAACATATGAGTGTAAACATATCAGGGGCATAGTAAATACCTGTCAGTATAAACATACGAGTGTTAACATTCGAGTGTAAACATACCAGTGTAAACATACCAGTGTAAACATACCAGTGTTAACATATCAGTGAAAACATATCAGGGGCATAGTAAATACCTGTCAGTGTAAACATACCAGTGTAAACATATCAGTGTAAACATATCAGGGGCATAGTAAATACCTGTCAGTGTAAACACACCAGTGTAAACATACGAGTGTAAACATACCAGTGTAAACATACGAGTGTAAACATACCAGTGTAAACATTTGAGTGTAAACATACCAGTGTAAACATACAAGTGAAAAGAATGTAAAATACAGGTGTAATTCACCAGTTACAAGTACTTCCCACTTATTGTCACTTTCTGGTTAATGTCTCGTTTTCTTAAAACACTGTGTTTTACTGTTATATAATCTCTGTAATGTACCATCTGTTAATATCACTTCTGACTTGTTCCGATGTGATTTTAAATCTTATATTAAGCCATCGCCCTTGAAATGTAATTACCATAGAGAAGTACTTCAACATACAGTTAATTTATACACATAAACTGTATAAATTGACATTTTGTGATACCGTAAATATTCGTGTATTGTGTGCAGGTAGTTTTTGTGTGAAAAAAAAAAAAAAAATGTCAAGCTAGACTCCCTCCCCATACACTGACCATTTTTTATGTGATGAACCAAAGAGCACAGGTGGGTATGATAAAAGAAAGGAAACAGTACAGGAAACCTACCTGATGGTGAGTACTTGTAGTCTGGGTCGAGCGTCTCTGGGTAGAAGAATGTTTTGAGTACCGTGCCCAGACATCTTTTGTCTTGTACGTCGGTGACACGCCCACCATATGTAATCTACAACACAAACATGGAATCGGTACACAGCAGCCACACATTAATCAACTCATTCACCCCTACATATCTAAACTGGACTTGCCCAGTCTTTGATTTGGTAAGGTTCAAATGTGACATGATGGGTTAATGAGTAAATTACATCTTGTATGTGGTCTCTATCTGCAGTACTTAAATCTACTGTTTTCTCATACTTACCTGAGCTCTCCGCCAAATTTGTTTATTCTAAGTGCTGAATTGCTGACAATTCACAACAAATATTTACAATTAAGCCATGATTTGTGCAAGCATCATCACCGTCACATTATCCTTTATTAAATTTGTATCATCATTTACTCGTTTTTATTTTTTTATTTCATCGAAAGATTCAATAAAACCACATTAAGTAGTTCAGGCCATGTTGAAGTTTGTTGACAGGTCCGTCAACAAAAATAGAAAACACTCGACAACAGTTTCACTTTGTGTTGACATTCAGTATTTAGAGGAAAGACACATTATATTTGTATGTGTATGATACCTATAGCTGCAGTGACTTAACTCCCTTGTGATGTAAATGAGTGCAGTGACTTACCTCCCTTGCGATGTAGATGAGTGCAGTGACTTACCTCCCTTGCGATGTAGATGAGTGCAGTGACTTACCTCCCTTGCGATGTAGATGAGTGCAGTGACTTACCTCCCTTGCGATGTAGATGAGTGCGTCCCAGGGTATGGCTCCGTCCTTACAGAACATTTGTAGGTTGAGTAGGGCACACTCTCGGTCACTGTCACTGAACTCGTACTGCGACACAACAATAAAAAGGTTATACATCACAACAAGTGAAAGGTTTCTATCTAGTACGCTACATACTGTCGCCTTTATCACACAAAATGGTTATCATTACAGCTGTTAATAAACCTAAACAAACGCTAGGCTGATACATGTCCTTCGAAAATAACAGAGGAGCTAAATCCAACTTTTAAAATGTGTCAATTTTATGGTTAGCCGTACCTCAGAGTTTACATCTTCTCTCCATAAAACTATACAGAAGGGATATTTGAACACTGATTTTGCATTTATTCTTTATTTTACGACATTACACTGTTCTTTTTTATTCGACACTTACCCGGATATTCCACCCTAGTGGTCCGAACTTCTTCCTCTCTAAGATTATGGCGTGGAAGAAACAGATTCCGAAGATCATTCTCTTCCATTTCACTCCGAGCACTGTTGAATAAAGGAGACATTTTACACTCTCCTGTGATACATACATACAAAGTATACAATTATTGACTTTTGTGGAGGTTAGTACATGGTTTTAGTAACCAGCTAAAATAGTTCCTGTATAAATTTTACTTTTACAGCTTTCCTGAATGTCTGTGAAAATTCATGCAAAATATTTAGTGATAGGATTTCGTTGAGGTAACTGCATGCATGGCCTTATAGACATAAACTGTATTGTGGGACAATACAAAGGTACTTCATAAAAAAGTCATTTGTCATTAAGTATACAAAGATTAAAAATTATTTCTGCTTCAAATAAAATCATGTAATTATTTGAAAAAAAGACTTTAAATTGTTGCAACTATAGACCCAATGGAGATTATCTAATAATCACTTAATGAAAATCATTAAAACCAATCAAATGTATGTTGTCCCGTTTTGTCTTTTTGACATCTCTTTTATCGTGCAAAAATAATTTAGCGTATGAAGCACAATTATGAAAAACACAATTTAAAGTGGAGGGGATTATTGAAACACTGTACCGTTTTCCTCAAAGAATGTGGGCGTCATCTCGCCGAATGCACGCCTCATATTTGCACGTAGGCCCTTGGGCGGTTCATTGGTGACCTTGACACTGTTCTGAAGGACACTGACAGGGAAGGTCGTGGAGGGCATTGAGCTGAGGAAGAGGCGGAAGTCTTCGTGAATGTCCTGTGGTGCCTCTCCCATCTGTTTCACCACATTCTCCATAGACAACATCCAGGATGCAGCCAAGTGACAATTCTATCAATCAAACAGATTGTATGTTAATACGCTAGCTCTTATCAGTAATGCGATTGAAAATTCACAAAAAAATAAAAAAAATAAGATAGGTTTTACTGCAGTTTCAAATTAAAATATTTTCAAATCCTCCGATACATCCTTCCTCCCTACAGAATTACTCTCGCTAGTCATTTCCGCTGTAGCTTCATTTTTAAGCAGCTGTTTTCAAAACCATGAATTTCAAATCAAATAATAATATTTTCGCAGTATCAAAATCAAAGGTTACAATTCATCGCTGCACTAGTTCTATTTTTGATATTAATGTAAAAATAGAAAGACAGCTGATTTGTTTATACACTGTACCTCCACATCCATTTAATTTACTATCACTTATTTTTATTATCACACTGGTAAATGTCCGTCTAACTGTACACGTAGCTACCAGTCTCAGTAGATCATGGCGGGATGTAGGCTACTTTATGTTAGAATTGCTTTTGTATTTATTTTGAGTCTCGTTCTATGAGGTTGCTGAGTGTATGTGTGTACCTGTAAGATCACCCAGTCTCCAGACTTCACAGAACTTGAGATGAGTTTCTCGGCCACAGGTCCCTGGCCCTGCCCTAGGGAGATAGACTGGATCCTAAGGGATAAAATGATCAAAATTCAGTCTCGGCCAAAATATAGACAAGAAATCATGACTTTTCTGAACTCTTGCCTTAAACATAGACTTGCACTTCTTCTTTAAGGTCTGTTCAAGAATGGGGTAGACTATAATTAGAGACAGGTCAGAGGTCATTTGATAAGAAATGTATATGGAAGTTTACCTAATTGGTCACCAACTGTTGCTTACCATTTAGATGAAGTCCTGACATAAAATTATTCACTTTCAATTCTTACAAAATACTAGATTTACAGAGAACATTAGACCTCAACCTAATGTTTCTTAATTGGAGAATTCAAACCTCCATTGGCCCTCATTTTAACGTGCTATTTCATTTATATAGAGTTTTCCCCCCTCCCTGTCTCGCCAATCCTCTTTATAACGTCCAAGTTTTGATAGACAAATGGGAGCTCTGGACAAGGGAATTACTCTTTAACTTGTATTTTTTGTAAATACACCAAGCAGAAGTACAAAGAAGTCAACCAATCTACCCACTACACTATAAGCTATATTGTGGTATATACCCACTATACATTATAAGCTATATTGTGGTATATACCCACTATACATTATAAGCTATATTGTGGTATATACCCACTATACATTATAAGCTATATTGTGGTATATACCCACTATACATTATAAGCTATATTGTGGTATATACCCACTATACATTATAAGCTATATTGTGGTATATACCCACTATACATTATAAGCTATATTGTGGTATATACCCACTATACATTATAAGCTATATTGTGGTATATACCCACTATACATTATAAGCTATATTGTGGTATATACCCACTATACATTATAAGCTATATTGTGGTATATACCCACTATACATTATAAGCTATATTGTGGTATATACCCACTATACATTATAAGCTATATTGTGGTATATACCCACTACATTATAAGCTATATTGAGGTATACTTACTTGTCTGAGTAGCCTTTCTCCCGCGCGAACCTCAGGAAGGCTCCCATGGGGTCAGAACCTGTGCTCAGTACGAACACGAGTGGCGTGGTCTTGTTCATGTCGTCATACAGAGTCTGAAGACTGACGGGCGGACTCTCCACGAACTGCTGTCCGAGGTTCTCACGCACGAAGTCAGTGACAGCAAAAATTGTCTGCAGATCAAAACATGTTACTTTATAGAAATCTGAAAGGATGACAGTTGTGAGTCGTGACACAGGATCAAATGGACGGCAGCTGATCCAGAGACTAACTTGGCAGTAGAAAGAAGGTATGTAGGGCATTTCTAAATAGGAGACATAAAAATTTGACACTTTAACTCATTCACCCCTGAAGACACATTTGAACTCCTCCCATTCAAAGGTTGGAATAGTTCATTAGGAAATTTCAGGGGTGAACGCGTTAAAAATGAAAGTTGGCAGGTTGGGGTGGGGGGTCCTGATGCACTCAAACATTTTCCTGTGTCCACCACTTAAGAAGTAGTGATGATAAAATTCTATATTTTTTCCCCCTGCAGAGCAACACATTCTTTATCAGGTGACAAAGACCAGATATACAGTGCTAATGTCAGCATGGTTATAGACCAGATATACAGTGCTAATGTCAGCGTAGTCATAGACCAGATATACAGTGCTAATGTCAGCGTAGTTATAGACCAGATATACAGCGCTAATGTCAGCGTAGTCATAGACCAGATATACAGTGCTAATGTCAGCGTAGTTATAGACCAGATATACAGTGCTAATGTCAGCGTAGTTATAGACCAGATATACAGTGCTAATGTCAGCGTAGTTATAGACCAGATATACAGTGCTAATGTCAGCGTAGTTATAGACCAGATATACAGTGCTAATGTCAGCGTAGTTATAGACCAGATATACAGTGCTAATGTCAGCGTAGTTATAGACCAGATATACAGTGCTAATGTCAGCGTAGTTATAGACCAGATATACAGTGCTAATGTCAGCGTAGTTATAGACCAGATATACAGTGCTAATGTCAGCGTAGTTATAGACCAGATATACAGTGCTAATGTCAGCGTAGTTATAGACCAGATATACAGTGCTAATGTCAGCGTAGTTATAGACCAGATATACAGTGCTAATGTCAGCGTAGTTATAGACCAGATATACAGTGCTAATGTCAGCGTAGTTATAGACCAGATATACAGTGCTAATGTCAGCGTAGTTATAGACCAGATATACAGTGCTAATGTCAGCGTAGTTATAGACCAGATATACAGTGCTAATGTCAGCGTAGTTATAGACCAGATATACAGTGCTAATGTCAGCGTAGTTATAGACCAGATATACAGTGCTAATGTCAGCGTAGTTATAGACCAGATATACAGTGCTAATGTCAGCGTAGTTATAGACCAGATATACAGTGCTAATGTCAGCGTAGTTATAGACCAGATATACAGTGCTAATGTCAGCGTAGTTATAGACCAGATATACAGTGCTAATGTCAGCGTAGTTATAGACCAGATATACAGTGCTAATGTCAGCGTAGTTATAGACCAGATATACAGTGCTAATGTCAGCGTAGTTATAGACCAGATATACAGTGCTAATGTCAGCGTAGTTATAGACCAGATATACAGTGCTAATGTCAGCGTAGTTATAGACCAGATATACAGTGCTAATGTCAGCGTAGTTATATAACAATACTTTTTAAGAAAAAGGTTGTTCATGTATCTTACAGTTTTTTTTCTTCTAAAAATATATCTCAAAAAAGAGAGCTATCTGTCATTTTTCTGAAGATTTACCTTCTCCTCCTTGAACACCTTGATGAACATGAGTTTCTGGAAGCTTGTCAGACGTAAGTTCCAGTGACCTTTGATGGTACCGTCGTCGACCTCGATTTCCTGTTCCTGACCTTCCTTGAGCGGTTCCGGTGCTGGGGGATGTGGTTCGTATGTACTGTACTCATCTGGGTTAGCATGGATCTACAAGTTAATATATCACAACTTAAACAATTGAACTTCTTATTTCAAAATACTGATTTCATTTCTATTATGATATCCCGATTGTATTTTTCTACGTATTATAATTTCACATTTCAATGAGGCCAAACAACAATAAAAATTGGTTTTAATTTCAGATTACAAAAAAACTGGGAAAGAAAGAAAGCAAAATTTCTTACAGAAACAACATTTTTTTTCAAAGGTTATAAAGATATCATTTCAGGATTTAACAGCCATTTTGTCTAAAAGGAAATACACAATTGTTTTAGACCTCTAAAGGAGGTGGTGACATCAGCAGGTTTTACTGAACTGTAATGTTAACAGTACAGGTGGTCTCTAAAGGAGGTGGTGACATCAGCAGGTTTTACTGAACTGTTATGTTAACATAGGTGGACTCTAAAGGAAGTGGTGACATCAGCAGGTTTTACTGAACTGTAATGTTAACACAGGAGGTCTCTAAAGGAGGTGGTGACATCAGCAGGTTTTACCGAACTGTAATGTTAACATAGGTGGTCTCTAAAGGAGGTGGCGACATCAGCAGGTTTTACTGAACTGTAATGTTAACAGTACAGGTGGTCTCTAAAGGAGGTGGTGACATTAGCAGGTTTTACTGAACTGTAATGTTAACAGTACAGGTGGTCGCTAAAGGAGGTGGTGACATCAGCAGGTTTTACTGAACTGTAATGTTAACACGGGTGGTCTCTAAAGGAGGTGGTGACATCAGCAGGGTTTACTGAACTGTAATGTTAACACAGGTGGTCTCTAAAGGTGGTGACATCAGCAGGTTTTACTGAACTGTAATGTTAACACGGGTGGTCTCTAAAGGAGGTGGTGACATCAGCAGGGTTTACTGAACTGTAATGTTAACACAGGTGGTCTCTAAAGGAGGGGGTGACATCAGCAGGTTTTACTGAACTGTAATGTTAACATAGGTGGTCTCTAAAGGAGGTGGCGACATCAGCAGGTTTTACTGAACTGTAATGTTAACACTGGTGGTCTCTAAAGGAGGTGGTGACATCAGCAGGTTTTACCGAACTGTAATGTTAACATAGGTGGTCTCTAAAGGAGGTGGCGACATCAGCAGGTTTTACTGAACTGTAATGTTAACACTGGTGGTCTCTAAAGGAGGTGGTGACATCAGCAGGCTTTACTGAACTGTAATGTTAACAGTACAGGTGGTCGCTAAAGGAGGTGGTGACATCAGCAGGTTTTACTGAACTGTAATGTTTCTATGATAAAGTGTTAATACCCTTTTTTTCTGCAGGACAAAAAAAAGCAAAAGCCGTCAAAACTTCCTGCTTTAATTCTTGTAAATCTTATGGGCCAGCTTACCTCCGTTTCCCCGAGTTTGACCCACACAGGTGTCTTGATGAGGTCTGTATGGACACCTCTGAAGATAGGCACGGTATCGCTGATATCACACGCCTGGTTCCAAGTGAGTATCTTAATGAAATCAACGTCAGGTTTGGGGGCTCGCTGGCGGTCCATACCAGTGGCGCCCCGCAGGAAGAAGTTCCACTCGGGCATGGCGATGTGGCCCTCCTGTTTCATTATCTCCACACATAGCATGAAGGAGAATACAATCTTGTCTTTTTCAAACAGTGCCCTGTCAAAAAGTGAACATCGGTTTACTAGTACAAACTTGCAGAGCATGATAGAAGGATTTAATTTACAAAGATAGTCAGTAAGATTGAAAACATATCAAGTCAGGCCTACTTCATCGCGTTCGATTGTAAGGTGAATTCACCAAGTGTTCTAGCTGTATATTTCAATAAAAATAAACAAACATAGTGTGACTGACATGGCATTTTTGTTATTAAAAGTAAAATAATAATATTTTACTTGTTTATTTTATTGAAAAAGGCAGCTAAACACTTGCTTAACTACAGTAGTGCCTTCTGATCAAACGATTGAAAATATCTATTTTAGAACCAGATCACTTACACATTTAAATATCTACTTTAGAACCATATCACTTACACATTTAAATATCTACTTTAGAACCAATATATCACTTACACATTTAAATATCTACTTTAGAACCAGATCACTTACACATTTAAATATCTACTTTAGAACCATATCACTTACACATTTAAATATCTACTTTAGAACCAGATCACTTACACATTTAAATATCTACTTTAGAACCAGATCACTTACACATTTAAATATCTACTTTAGAACCAG